GGTGGCTTCCTGCTCGGCCCTCAATCTTACACATCAAGGTGGGGAAGAACTCTGGATAGAAAGCAGGAGATCTGGGGTTTATTCTCATCTCCTCCATTCACCAGCCAAGAGTTCTTGGCCGTGACACTGAATTTATCTGAGCCTCAGTTTTCTCATCTATATCCTTGGGTAACAAAACCTGCCTGGCCACACTCAGGAGGTCCTAAGCAACAAATGAAAAAATGAAGCAATATACAAACAGTGAATCTCGATAATGCTTTCATGGATCTATCAATGGAGAATTTGTCCAACACTTGAAAGTACAAGGAAACTCCGAATCCAAGCCATTTAGAAGTAAGGAGGCTGACTTCCTGGCAAGTTAGGAGATTTGTTCAAATTTTCACATTGAGCTGGGAATCAACTAGTTCTAGAAGCCCCTGGGGGGAGTCACAGGAGCAGAGTCCTTGTCAAAAGCCACCTTGAGCCCCAGGAAAGTTCCAAGAAGGCTCATAAGATAGGTTGAAGGCAACTCAGCTCATGTCCCTTCCTTGTGCTTCAACAGAAATAAGCTGACCATTAGCCACTGAGTCACCCCCTAGTCATCCCACTCCAGCTCTGACGTTTTTAGCCCAAGCTTCCTTCAGCTTCCACTATGGTATGCTCCTTAGCTAACAAGAGCTGCCTGAAAGGAGCAGCACAAAAACAAACAGAAACTGCAGCTTGAAGGCTCCCCATGCTGGGGCACTCGCGGGATTCCAGAGTCAGTGTCAGTTCTCAGCCCGACCTGGAGTGCTGCGTCATTGATCATATCCCGGGAGTTTGGAGAGGCGCCCAGCCCGGAGAAGGGGCGAGAGGCACAGAGCAAGCCATGTAGCCCCGTCACATGAAAGTCACTTCCAGCTTGGAACGGACTGCAAATTCCTGCCTCTTGAGTGGTGTTTCAGATGACCGGGAGCTGGCTTTTTTGTGGGCAGTCATCAATGCAGCAGAAGGAAGTCGGGGGGCAGGGGCATTCCAACACCCTGCCCCAGCCCCACAGTCCCGGAAAATGGCTTCCTGGTGCTCCACCCAGCCTTGCCTTCATCAAAACCAGCAAGTGCCCACTGGCCTTCGCTTTGAAACATTGGGAGTGTTTGTCATCCAACAGCACAGACACTCTCCTGCCCCAGCCTGGAGCTTCCCAAACTCTGTTACACTGACAAGGATGATGGGGTGTCACACACAGGGCAGAACCTCTCAATGCTCGCTGTGTACCACGCGCTGGGCTCGCTGTCTCAGATGCCTATGCCTTGACCATCTTCTTCATTCTCAACGTCAGGAGTGTGGTGCTAATATATGTATCATCACTACAGCTAAAGCACCTGGGCGAGGGATGCTGAATTCACCTCCCCTCCCCCCCACACACCAGGAAATGACAAAGGAGGAACTTAGCCCAGCCCTGATTCCCGTCCCAAGCTCAGACCAAGTGGGATGGACAGGAAGTGCTCGTCCCTCCACCCGGCAGAGAAGGACATCAAGGATTCAGCCTGTTTTGTCGATTCCAAGCTCATCTCACATTTCTGACTCACCCACGGCAGCATTTTCCAACCTTCACTTTGAGAAAGGCTTTCCCTATGTCAAAATGCCTTATCACCCTCATCCCTGCCCTCTGCACTCCACAGTCCTCCCACTTCTCAAACGCTCCCCTGAGAAGCTGGTCTCAGGAGTCTTTCCCATGAAACAGATCCCCTGGCATCACAAAGGGGGTTTTGTCTAACGCCCATTCTCAAATCGAAGTTTAAGCGCAGGGTGTCTTGCTCAGATCTAAGTGAAAGAGCACAATTGTCCTCATTTCATCTGCCCTCCCAGTGACAATATGTGCTTACAGCTGGTGGTGTAAAATATGATTGCTTTTTGTCCTAAAACACCAGATCTGGAAGGAACTTGGGAATTTTATCTTTCACTTCCTCCTGCCTTCAGTCAGGACCCGCCCTCCCTCATCCCCAGTCCACAAAACATCGAAAGACCCTGTGGCACGAGGGAATGTCTTTATACCCCAACTGATATACCTGGAAAGCAAGACGGGTGGCCGGGCTGAGGTCCCTGAGTGGATTGTGGGTAAGGCAGGAAGAGAGGCCAGACCTGGGTCTCCCAGGAAATCCCCCCTTCTCCTGCACCCCCTTCCCATGGCTTCTATACACTGTCAAGAACTGTAAGGTATAGACTGTATAAAAGACACAGACCCTAAGCACAGTATCTTCTTAGGGGCATTCAATTCCATGTGTCTGACATGGTCTGCACTAATCAGAGATATGGAGGCAGACAGATGAGCTCACTGTCCCCTGGAAGCTCAGAATCAATCGCCCCCTTAATGACAGACTGGTGTTGTGCTCCCTCTGTGGGCAAGAGAGAGCATTGCAGCTGGAGCTCTAAGGATCTTCTTACATCAGCCACATTTGCTGACTTCCCCCAACTCTCCGCAGATGAGCATGAAGAGGATCTGAAGGTGCATCCCAACCAGCTGAGTGGTAATGAGCCACTTACCTCCACGGATTGAACTCAGGGCTCCTCATTTCTATAGCAAAGTCAATTCTATGTTGCAGTGGGTCGAATGATGTTCCCCCAGAAGCTATGTCTACACCCTAACCTCCAGAACCTATAAACACAACTTTATTTGGAAAAGGGTTCTTTGCATATACAGTTGAGTTAAGGATCTGGAATCTCCCTGGATTATCCAGGTGGGCCCTAAATCCAGTGATAAGTGTCTTTATAAGAGAAGGACACAGAGATGTTGGCCTGAAGACACAGAGGAGCAGAGATTGGAGCCACACAATCACAAACCGAGGGAGGCCTGGAGTCTTCATAAGCTAAAAGAGGCAAAGATGATTCCTGAGCTTTCTGTTTCAGTTCCTGGCCTTCAGAAATATGAGAGAATACATATCTGGAGATTTTTTAAGCATCCCTCGGAAACTAATCCATACAGATTTCATGCTCTGTTCAGCAGGGACCCTCTCCCCGGGCAGCTGCTTCCTAGCACCATGTTCTTACTCTCACTCAAGTCCCTCTCATTGTGCCCACTCAACCAAAGATCCAGAAGAAAGGTTTTAGTGTCAGGGTTTCGGGTTATTTATTTGTTTGGGGTGTATATTTCTCTACTCCCTGTGGACATAGCTCAAAATAATAGTCCTCCCTCTACCCCATCGGGTGGTGCAAGGGGTTAAGCACTGCACTATGAAGATGTCTGTAGCCTCTGCAGCATGAGTTCAATCCCTGGCCAGAGAGCTACCCACATGGCTCAGCAGACCTGTCCTGTCTCGCCCGCTGCTCCCCTCAACAGTCTGCCTTTTCTGATCTCCACTCTGTCTCTGGTGAATCCTCTCACCCCCTGTACCTCTGGTCTGTACCTCAGTTCTCATATGCATAAATAAATCTTTTTAAAAAATAATAGCCCCCAATTTTTATGCAAATAAATCTAAAAACACTTGACCTATGACTCTGACACAAAAATGGGACTGATAGTCAAACACTATACTCACCAGCATTTCTTCTTTACTTTTCCTTTTCCTTGAGGTAACAGCCTGTAACACTGTTAGGTTTCCGGTGCATTTCTCACCTCTGCAGCTATATAGCTCACACCACACCCACCACCCAGAGTCCAGTGACCAGTCGCCACCCACGATCGGCCCCTCTGCCACTGCCTGTCCTTCCCCGCTAGCCACCCTCTGCAGGCAGCCTCTGAGCATTTGCTTGTGTCTCATTTGTTTGCTTGTTTACCTGTATATTCCACAAAAAATTTGCATTTGTCTTTACCCTTCTGACTTACTTCACTTAGCAAAAACCCCCGAAAGTCCATCCATATTGTTACAGATGACAAGGCTTCACCTTTTTTGTGGTTGAGTGTATTCCACTGTGTCTAGGTACCATGTCTCCTGTATCCAGTCACCTGTCGCCAGGCATTTGGGTAGTTTCCACATCTTGGCTAACGTGACTAGCACTGCAATGAACATAGGGGCGCATAAGTTTTTTCAAATTAGTGTTTTCATATTCTACCAGTAAATACCCAGGAATGAAATTGCTGGATCATCTCATAGTTCTATTTTTTATTTTTTGAGGAACCTTCCTAATGTTTCCCATAGCAGCTGCACCAATTACATTCCCACCGACAGTGCATGGAGGATCTTTTTTTCCATGTCCTCAACAACACTTACAATTTCTTGACTTTTTGATAGTAGCTGGTGGGAGGTAAAATCTCATTGTGGACCTGACTTGCACTTCCTTAAGGATAAGCCACGTAGAACATCCTTCCATGTCTGTGGGCATCTGTGTCTTCTTTGGTGAAATGCCTGTTTTGATTCTTGGACCATCCTTTTATTGGGTTGTATGCTTTGTTGTTGTTGTGGAGTTGTTTATTTTTCATATCAACCCTGTCTGGTATACGATTTGAAGCATCTTCCCCCATCCAGCAGGCTAACCAGAGCGCTTCCGGTCAGGCTGTGGTGGGTCCTTACACAGCACTGTGCTTCACCCATTGTCAGGGGGCATCCCGAGCCGCCTGGCAGACCCGGAACAGATGCTGAGACAAAGCGTCCCCGGAAGCTGGATCGTGTTTTTAAGCCAGGTGTGCACAGCTGTGTGCCGCCGGTGCGCACATGGTAGCAGGAATGAGAGGCCAGAGCCAAGCACGCGAGTCTAGCAGTGCCAAGCACGGGAGTCTGGCAGTGCCAACTCCTTCACACCTCCCTGCTCTTTTAATCTGGTTTATAAACTTGGAATAAGCACGCAATTTTTTTTTTTTTGGAAAAAAATTAACATTTTGATATTTTCTTTTTTTAACAAATTTTAAGCTACTGATGTGACGACAGGAAGCAGGGCCAAAGAACTTGAGTGACATGCCCAGGTTCCTGCGGCTCCTGCCGCCTCAGCTCCGACACTCAACCTCACTAGGGAGGCTGAGCGAGCTGTTCTCACCGGCGGCGGGGCCTGTTCCAGCGCTGCCGCCCCAGCACCTCTCAGGCCGGCTGGGTCTGGAATGCTGAGGATGCCCAGGCAGTACCAGCAGCCCCTCTTCCAGATGAGCCATGTCTCCATGCACACCAACGCAGCCCCATCTTCACCCCCTTGGGGCCAGAAGTGGTCTATCAGCCAGGAGCTTTTCCACTCCCTTCTAACCCCTTCTCCTTAGAACAGACGCCCAGGTCTTATCTCAGGTGAGGAAATGTCCCACACAGAGGACCGTTGAAATGTTTCTTGGAAAACAATTGCTTTCACAGAGAAGAAAGAGGTGAAGAAGACACCCAGCCAGGCAGCAGCTTCTGAGAAGACCCTTATCTGCCCTCACCCAGCTCTCAATGCAGGCCCTGGACAACCTCACAACAGGTCAGTGGGGCGGGTAGACAAAGACAAAGTCCCAAGCCAGAGAGGGAGAGGCTACCCTACAGGGTGAAGACACAGAAGAAAACAAAAATCACTTAAGAGAGAGCTGCGGCCTCAGAGCCGGGGCTGCCAGGCCAGGGGGCGGCTGTGAAAAGACAGTGAGGGCTGGGAAATGAAGCCGGGACCAGAGGGGCAGCCCAGTCACTGTGGCCAGGTCAGGAGTGGTGTGCAGACTCCCCGCGCAGGGAGGAGGACCCCACCTGTGCTTGAAACGCGAGGGGGTGATAATACTTCAACAGTAGTTCCAAGCAAGAAAATAATAATAAGAGGAGACACGAAGCATGACCAGGTCATTGAATGGTCAGACAAATGGTAGAATCAGCAGTTAGGAGAGGAGCTCAGAGGGGATGTTTAAGCAGAAAGACCTAACAAGACTTGACTTAACGGCATCTGCCGATTGTTAAGCACCGGAGAGCCTATTTGACTTTGAACACTTCTATGAGGCCTAAATGTCTCACAGAGGGGGACGCACTCCCCAGTAAATCAGCTGTGCCCCCTAGGGCCTCCCCTGGTGGTGCAGTGGGTTGAGCGCAGCACTGTGAATCTGTCTTCAGCCTCTGCAGGGCAGGTTCAATCCCAGCTGGCCAGGGAGATTCCCACATGGCTGGGCAGACCTCTCCTGTCTCACCCGCTGCTCCCCTCTGCAGTGTATTTCAGTCAGTCTGCCTGTTCTGTTCTCCGCTCTGTCTCTGGTGGATTCTCTCACCCTCCTGCGCCTCTGGCCTGTACCCCAGCTCTTGTATGCATAAATAAAAAAAAATCAACTGTGCTTCCTAGGTGAGAACAGGGGCCATCTGACACCAGGACCCAGCCCGTTTCCTGGGTGTCCCAGATGGACAGAAAAGACTCAAATAAAAGCAGGAGGAAGGCAGGCAGGAACGTGAGCCATCAGGCAGGCACATCGAAAGCAGACAGGGTGTAGTTAAGACAGGGCTTTCTGCAACAGGTAATGCCCAGTACTTACTGTTGGGTCAGGTCTAAGAACTGTATCTCGATCATCTCATTTAACCCTCACAGGAGCCAGGCATGGAGTATTATCGTTCCCGATGGATGAACGAGAAAGCCGAGACCCAGAGAGGTTAAGGAACTTAGCCAAGACACACAGCCGCTGAGGGCAGAGGCTGCCTGTGAGCGATCATCCGCGCTCCTCACCACCACGCCATACTTGAAGGCAATCGTTGGGAACAAGTTGAAGTTCATTCAGTGCAGGTGCTGCCTTGAGCACAGGTGTTTGCATGTGACCTGTGAGTGCAAGAAGAATCATTCAGATGGAATCACAATGAAATAATTACCCTTCCAGAAACAAAACAAAACAAGAGCAGAGAAGATCTCCACAGGTCAAAGCCCAGCCAGGCCAGGCCCCAGCCCTGCCCCTCTGGGCATCCTCTGCGCCTTCCCCTCCACTGCATTGGGAAGAGAAGGCAGAAAACTGTGGCCCGGGAGAGAGCTGGGCAGGAGGGAGGAAGATGCCTTTGGCCGCTAGAGTCGGAAGCAAAGCTTGAGGTGACACAGTCAAAAAGGCGGCGGGAGGTGGGCGCAGGGGTGCTGGGAAAGCAGAGGTGTCCGAGAGACCCGTGGAGGGAGAATGATGAGGTGAGTGGTCTGAGCAGTCAGCCTTACTGGTGGGGTTCAGGCTGGCCTGGAGTGAACTGCTCTCTGAGCTGAGGAACAGGCCAGGGGGCCTCCTAGACTGTCTGCCCCACAAAGGGGAGGCAGCTTGGGGCTCTGTCTCTGCTGTGCCTTTGCCCCAGGGATGCCTGTGATGGGGGCTGCACTTACTATAAGAGACGGGGGGGCCAGTCTCCCCGTGCCGAAGCCCAGTGTGGGTTCTCTGGCATTCCCGGGGCTGTTCTTGTCACTAAGAGATTTCACAATATCACCTTTCTTGATTCCTCCCCACTCCACCCAGCATCCCCCCTGTAGGGTAAAGAAAATATCAGGCTTTTCTGCCCTTCCGCCATCAGGATAGATGGTGGATCCTTGTCCTGAATGCATGCCTGATGGCGGGCACCTGGAATAGGGTGTGGGCATAGGCAGATGGGATTCATCTGGGCTGAGACTGTGCTTTTAAGGGCGGCGTCGCGGGGACGCCAGCGGCAGCAGTAGAAGTCAAAGCCGAAAGAGAAGCCAAAAGAGAAGCCCAGAAGCAGCAGAACGAACTCCAGAGAGCTCAGATAGAGTGAAGACTTGCTGGGGGCTGGGAGGCCTGCCAGCCTCTCAGCCCCCCAGCCAGCACCCCTGCCTGCCATATGCCTGGTGAACCCCAATAAAAAACCTACAAAACCACTGAGGACTGACTCCTCCTTTACCAGGTCTGCATGGGATCAGAAAACCTGCACTGTGGCCAGTCCTGCCTTTACAATTGGCGTAAGTCGGCAGGATCCATGCAGACGGGTATTGGAGCCCTCCGAAGACCTGGAGGGACTAAGGAGAACAGACTTTGCCTGTGACGACACTGGAGGCGCCATGGCGGCACAGAAGGTGGATACGGTCCGGGAGCTGTGGGACAAGACCTCACATGGAGGAGAAGATGCCCAAGAGGACCAGCCAACGACACCGGAAAGGACCAGCCAATGACCCCTGAGGCAGCAGGCCGTTGCTGACGCAGGGAGAGGCCAGTGGACTTGAACTGATGGACTGATGGACTAGGACTGACAATCCCGCCAGAAGGCGGAGGACCTTGCAGGTTGATATGTTTTGGGACCCTGGGGGTGGAACAGTTTTGTTTGTAAACCCCAGGAGATGGGAATCTGGGGGTGGCCAGTGGGCCTTGATGGCCAAAAGCAGCCTGTGCATGCCCAGCAGCCAGGTGGAGGAGAAAAGCCAACTAAGAAGGCAAAAGCTGGTACTGATGCTAAGTTGAGAAGCCCTGAGCGGCTGTTAAGCAGCTTGGGTATGATGAAGCCCTGTGAATCTCGTAAAATCACCTGTGGGGGATGCCCTGCTCATTCTTGAGTGAGGGTGAGGAGCTGAGGAACCTGTCCTTGGGGGACGGGTGGGGAACGTGGCTTGGGGTGGAGCCCAACCTGAATGTAGAGTTTGGATCCCCGACCCATGTGCTTGTGCAGTGGGTTGGCTTGAGAGCAGGGGTCTGTGAGTCGCATGGGTGGCTGTGAAGGCTGAGTGTTGGAGCGACTGCAGACAGAAACCCTGAGGGCTGGCGATTACCCCCAACAGAATAAAATTGCCAATCCCAGAGCTAGTGCATCCTGGGGGTGGATGCTGTGTGTGGCTTGTAGCCGAGACGACAGACAGAAGGCCAGGAAGCCCGACGGCTCCTGGTGTGATATAGTAGATGCCGTGAGTGATTCCCCTCCCTCGTATGAGCAGTGCCTTCGGCAAATTTGGTGGCTCATCTGCTGGTACCAATAATTGTCTTTTGCACTAGGTTGGTGCCCTGCCTGGACTTATTTGTGTTCTGTTGTATTTTGTTATATTGTGATGTATTTACTTTTGTGGGCCATGGCTGCATGGTTTGTTTACTAAATTGTATATATGTAGATTATATGGCAGAAAACCCTGAGGGGGTGGACTGTAGGGTAAAGAAAATATCAGGCTTTTCTGCCCTTCCGCCATCAGGATAGATGATGGATCCTTGTCCTGAATGCATGCCTGATGGCGGGCACCTGGAATAGGGTGTGGGCATAGGTAAATGGGATTCAGCTGAGCTAAGACTGTGCTTTTAAGGCGGCGTCACGGGGACGCCAGCAGCAGCAGTAGAAGCCTAAGCCGAAGTCGAAAGAGAAGCCGAGAAGCAGCAGAACGAACTCCAGAGAGCTCAGATAGAGTGAAGACTTGCTGGGGGCTGGGAGGCCTGCCAGCCTCCCAGCCCCCCAGCCAGCACTCCTGCCTGCCATATGCCTGGTGAACCCCAATAAAAAACCTACAAAACCACTGAGGACTCTGACTCCTCCTTTACCAGGTCTGCATGGGATCAGAAAACCTGCACTGTGCCCAGTCCTGCCTTTACACCCCCCAAAAGGCAAACCAGAGCTAGGGGTTAGGGACTAAGCAGGAGCTTAGTTTAGCTTGTTTAAGGTGATTCTTCTCCAGATGGCGTGTGGGCCCATTCTTGCCATCTGAGAACCTCACTCCCTGGGACGCGGGTCACTTCCCTGACATCACAGATGAGGATTTGAGCTCCAGGGTCTAATTAACGTCCGGTGGTCACACACAGAGGTTCAGAATTGGACACGGCCATCTGCTTTCCACCAGGACAGGAGGGCAGGGGCCAGGCACCATTTCACAAGAAATCAGCTCCGGGAAACATTTTGCAGGCCGGTGGCAAAATGGGGCTAAAATCCTGGGCTCACAATCTCCACCGCTATTGTTCACTTTGCAGTTTATTATGTTAAAAGATTTGCCTGGTTTACCCCTGATTGGAGTGGCAAGTTCCTCCACGAGAAAACAGTGCATTGCACCCCAAGTCCCTGTGGCTCCTAATGTCCTTGGGGGGCTCTGAAGACATGAGCTTCAATCGCTGGCTTCTTGGTGAGTTGACGATTAAAACTCACCTCCTTGGTGCCAATATTTCACTGCTTCACTCCATCCTTCATGCATTCTCCGGAATTATGCTAAAGCAAATGCTGGCCTTTTCCTCTTCACCGTCCTGCCAGTAAGGACAGGAATGGTCACTGAGCAGGTTTTCTAGGATCCCATGCAGACCGGGTAAAGGAGGAGTCAGAGTCCTCAGTGGGTTTTTGCAGGTCTTTTATTGGGATTTACCCGGTACACAACAGGCAGGGGTGCTGGGGGGCGGGAGGCTGGCAGGCCTCCCAGCCCCCAGCAAGCCTTCACTCTATGTGGGCTCTCCGGCCTTCTCTGCTTCTCTCTCGGCTTCTGCTGCTGCTTTCTCGGCTTCTCTTTCGGCTTCTGCTGGCGTCCCCGTGACGCCGCCCGTAAAAGCCCAGTCTTAGCTCAGGTGAATCCCATCTACCTCTGCCCACACCCTACTCCAGGTGCCCGCCATCAGGCATGCATTCAGGACCGCAAGATCCATCATCTATCCTGATGGCGGGAGGGCAGAAAAGCCTGACATTTTCTTTACCCTACACTGCCCCAAAGCCAGCCTCCCCATGGGCCCTCTCCGTGCTCACCACGATGGCCCCCCTCAGCCTCTCCCACGCCCTTGACTGGAACCCTCCTCTGCCCTTGCAGGGTGTGCTCCATCAAGTTATCCATCCCTGAAGGAGCTGCTGTGACCGTCTCTTTATTAATAAATGGTGAGGAGTAAACACAGAGGAGGGCATGAGCGGACGGCTGCTCCGTCAACAGGAAGTAAATCCGCAGAGCCGTGAGAGGAGGGAAAGGCAAACTCCTGAGACCCAGGGGGCAGGGGAGGTACAAAGGAAAAGGGGATTCCATAAGCAGGCTCCCTGAGGTGCTGCGCGATCTAGGGGAAATTGCTTCCGGTCTCTGGGCCTCTTTGCACATGGGTGTAGAAAGACTGAATTACTGCACCCCCCTGATCTCTGATTCTGTGAATGAAAAGCTCCCCCTTGACAAGCTCAGTAACGGATGTTACTGGTAGCACCTCCGCCCAAGAAACCAGCCACTCTCCTGAACCCACAGTCTTATCTGAAGCCACCCTCCTCACTTCTCCCCACAAGGAGCGCTGCTATCACCCATGGGACCTCCTTGGGGTGTTTGTGAACAAAAGCTGGTGTCTTATCTGGCCTCTCATGCACCGCCCTGCCCTGGGGAAACAGGGGTGGATTGCAGAGGGCGTGGCCTGAGTCTCCCAGGACAGGACAGGTTGAGGGCAGCCCGGGCTTTCTTAGAAAGACACAATCTCAAGCTGTTATCAGGGTGCACGGGGGCCACTCCTAGCCCGGACCCTTTCGCTAAGTTCAACTTCAGGTCAAGTCAGGGGCCCCCAGCAGCTCAGGGGCGCAGGATCCACAAGGAAGAAATTCCAGGATGTTGCCAGAAGCTAACAACAGTTCCCAGCTGTTCCCAGTCGCCTCCTGCCATTGAAGCCTTTGGAGCTCGGTCTTCACACAGAAGTGGCAGAAGGGGAGGTCAAGTGGACGACCATGCCTGGGGCCAGGGTGGGGGGCAGGCCTTGGGAACAGAAGTCTCTTTGTGAGGGGCCGGGCCACTCCTGCACAGCTCCAAGACCCTCGATGGAGACCTCCCTCTCCCTGAACCCGGGGGGGCCTGACATCAGTTGTATGGATGTGCTGTGCTGGTGCAAGGATTGAAAACCCCGGCTCCCAGCTCGCCTGGGGCAGAGAGCAGAC